ATATTTCTTTTTTAATCAATATAAGTACATTTCTCCGGTGTATCGGTGTATTGTTTCACCATAAAAAGTTGCTTCAACATCCTCGCAAATAATATATAGGTCACATTGAACCGATAAGAACAAAGATACGTAAATCATGCACGACAGGACTTGCCAGGGAAACAAACGATCGTTAAATTATAACATGTAACAGCTGGCTTTTATGACGGTGGTGAAGTACTGTCGGAACGGAGCTGAGAGGGTGCAGCCTCGCTGTACGCGATATCGAACACGCTCTTCTTCTCTAACAATTGCTGGTGTCGCAACCTGTTGCCACCCTGTTGCAACGACACGGCTACTCCAGAGTCGAAATCTTCGCTGGTACGTTCCACCGTTGGCGGAACTACTATTTCATAGTGTTCGGGTGACAGTTGCGGGGACGGGTGAGGAGCCGGTGGAGGATGAAGATAAAATGGCGCAGGCATCTTTTCGTACTTGTACTCAGAATGCTGGAACAGGTGGTGTTTAGGGTCTTGTGGAACCGCGGGCGGCGTCGTCGCGAATATCTGGACCGGTGGATCCTCGTTTTTCCCACCCTCGGCTCTTCTCAACTTCCTCCCCTGGCGAACTATGGCTTTCAACTGTTCAGACTCGACGTTTACCAATGGTTTAACCTTGCGTCTCGTTCGCATCGGGGTCGTGTCAGCGGTTTTCTGGCTCGATTTCTTCTCTCGCTTTCCATCCTCCATCTCGGATTTCTGATTTCTCATGCTCCTTCGTAACCATCGGGGCAGCTGGTCCTCGTCGTCGGTGGCCAGCAACTCGGCTCGTTTCCTCTCCATTTCCTCTCGGTTCTTCTTGTACCAAGCCATGTATTTCGGCTGAGCTTTGCTCGTGTCGATCTCGCCGGTTTTCGGCGGCGTTGGATACTTCTCGCTGCTGCTCGACGACTTCTTCTCTCTCTGAGCTTTCACTTTCGACAGCGACTGCTTTCGCTCGTCCCTCTTCGTCGATTGTCTCGTCTGGTCGATGCTTTGGTCCTTTTGCCTCGACTGGTCTTCCGGCAGCTTCCTCCGAAGCGTTCGGTGTCCAGCGTGGATGGACGCTGCTTTCTCCTCCGAGGATTCCTCGGAGGAACTTTTCTTCTTTCTCTGCGAGCTCACCCGTTTCCTTCCCAGCTCTTTCACCCTTCTGTCTACGACTTTGAATGTCTCGGTTTCCCCATCCTGTCTGTCGGCTTTAATTCCAGCCTTCGCTCTCGAATCTTTCGCATCTTTTGCACCGGTCGAGGATCCTTTATCCACCGCTGAATCACACTCGGACTCCACTTCCATGGCTTTCGTAGGTGATTCTCTTTCCGTGCCTTTCTCGCTCGTATCTTCGATTATCCGAAACGGGTCCTCGTCTTTCGTCTCTCCGATCGACACTTCTTCTTTCCCTTCGTCCTCGATGCTCCGCTTAGCTTCGGTCGGCTCGTCCACTCGACTGCTCTCTTTCTCGGAGAGCCGGCGAGCACGATGTCGCGGCGTCTGGTACGGTCTGGTTGTTAACGTTGTCTTCCTGGAAACATCACTCGATGAATCACTGTCCTCGGTGTCATCCGCCGTATCTATCACGCTTGTAAAAAGTGGAAGGCTTACGTCTGTCAATTGTCGTTCGAGGGAAACCGGTCTCCCCTCTTCTGTAGCTTCCTTCGCCAGCGACGTTTCGTCCATTCTCAGCACAATCAGATCGTGCTTATTATCCCAGTCGGCAATCCCAGGTACGTCAGACACCATCATAGTTGACCACTTGCCTGGAAACGTCGTCTCTCCCTCCATCGCCGCAAAAGTTTCTCCCCCGACGAGTTGCTCCACTTCTTGTAATTCAGTTTGCTCGCTCTGCGACTTCAATTGCTTGCCGGATTCGGACGTCCCCCCCGAATCTGTCGCAACTTCCGATATAATGGCACAGGACGCAAACTTCTCTTCCTCCGTCTGCGGGCGAATTCGGAGCAATTGCTCCCCTTCCTCGCTGGTTCGTGCTAATTTGTCATCTACCGTTTCATTATCCTCGGCCGGCTTTTCTTCCCGCAACTCCTCCACCCTCGTGCCTTTCATCTCGTCGTCCTTCGAAGATTCGTTGATTTCTCGTTGCTCGTCGGCCGAGTTTCCCGACGACGCTAGTTCCACTAGTCCATCCATCTCGCCGGGTTCTTCGCTCTTTTCTTCCTTCGTGTCCTCTGTCGAGCTAGTTGTTACTTTCGTGTCCTCCTCTGCCTTTTCGTTGCCCAATAATGTCACGGAATCACCGTTTATCCGGGAAGTGGAAGGCAACGGAGATAATTCTTCTTCGATAAGTTTCTTATCCCGAAGCGATTGCTCGGTAGCTGCAGCCTCTCTTTCAGGGCTCGGTGTTTTGCCATTCGTCAATGTGTCGACCAACGAATGAACAGCTTTAAACACTGCCGAGAAAACGCTGTGATCGTCAATTTCCTTTGCTTCCTCGCCATCTTGTTTCTCAGTAGTTGACACCTTTAACGTATCGTCCTTTTCCTTTGTATCTTTGCGAATCGTCGACGTGTCGTCCGTCTCCTCAGTCACGAGTTGCTGTCCGATATCTGCAATTTTCTCGCCACCAACTCGACCCTCGTCAGTTTCTCGCGTCCCTTTGTTAGCTTCTTTTTCCTGAAGTTTTCTTTTCTTAATCAGGTCGCTAGTTTTTTCACCCTCTGTAGTCAGTTTCTCTTCTTTATCGTCGGCAACACTCGCTTCTTCCTTGTCTGTACTTGCCAGTTCCCTTTCTAGAATTACCATCTCCTTTTCTTTGCTAACTTCGTGATCGGCAGTAACAACTTGTTCTTCTCTCTTCGTGGAAATTTCCTTTGCATCGGGAGAACTGCTTCTTTCCTTCTGATGACTTTCCTCGTCAGACTCTTTTCCATCGAAGGGAATTTCTCGATCGTCTGATCTCACAGTTTCTCTTTCGACAGCAGTCGAAATTTCCTTTTCTTCGTCGAATATTCCTTCGAAGTCGTCAGGTACATCATCTTCAGACACTTTTTCAACAGTTTGATAACCTTTAGCTTCTTCTTCAACACTTTGTCCCTTCTTGGCTGTTTCGATAATTTTACGTTCCGCAGACAATTCTCGCGTCTCTTTACTAGATTTTTCAACTGTAGTCGTTTCCTCCGCAACATTTCCATCAGTTTTCTCGTCTTCGCTTGTGTTCGATTGTTCAGTGACTTGTCGATCTCTACTCGATTCAGTAGCAATTTCCTCCAATGTTTCTTTGTCCTCAAATTCTCGATCCTCGGTTATTTTATGGTCGCCAGTTATTTCAACAGCTTTCATTTCAGCCGCGTCTCTTACAGCGACTTCTTCTTTCTCGTCGCCAATGCTCTTATCTCTATCCGCGAAAGTGGATTTCATTTTTTCAACGTCTTCGTACTTTCCCCGCTCGTCCGAAAGAACGTCTCCTTCAACTTTCTCGTCGTAAGTTTCTTTCTCGTACTCATAGGGGACTTTTATTGCATTTAAGTCGATCTTCTTTTCATCTCGAACATTGAATTCAATTCCCTTCTGCCCCGTGGTAGCGTAATCTAATGTTGAAACATCTTTCGCGTGTGTTATTTGTTTCTCCTCCTCTCCATCAGTTTCATCCATTTCTGCTTCTCTCTTTTTACGCACTTCCGAGTCACCTGTCGTCGTATCATCACTCGAT